TCGCCAGCGACAAGTCATGCGACGATGGTGGCTGTGGATACTCTCGCCCTGGCTCCGTTGCATACCGTAAGTAATTCATAGAATCTTGCTCTGCCTCTCTGTCTGCTTACACATCTTAGACGGCTTCAAGGGTGAGGACTCAGTCTGGCTCTTTGAGCTGAGCATGCCTCTCGACGGAACCACTGGTTTCAACGCCGACATGTCCGCTCTTTGGTTCCTTAACGCTCGCATCCCCCGCGTTGCTCAGTATAGCACTTGCTCCTGCTGGCCTGCTTGTGGTGAGCTCGACATTCTCGAGGTCCTCGCCACTGGCGATACCAAGTGCAAGTCAACCATCCACTCCAATGTCCCCGGCGGCTCATCGGACTACTTCGACCGACCTACTGGCGCTCCCGCCAAGGTCGCTGTTGTCCTAGATGGTGATTCTGGCCAGGTCTCAGTCAAGATGTTGGACTCTAGCGTCAACTTGAGCTCTGGCATCACCCGCTCCCAGGTGGAGGGCTGGCTCTCTGCCAACTCCGTCTCGACCGCAAGCACCGGCGGCAAGAGCAACAGGGTCTCCTTGTTCGCTTTGTCATCTTGAGTGTTTCCGCGGTTTTGATTTCTACTTGGAAGGTATTCCAACAAGTACACGATTTGCATATATGGGATTGGGGGTTTGACGATAACTTTCTCTTCTTCTCGCTGGATTGAGCCCAAGCAAGACCTTTTCTTTCTGCAATGGATCTTCGGCATCCAATGACTTGAGACTTTTTTTCTTCGACATGCGAGGGTACCTGTTACCTTCGCCTTTGGGGGCAAGGGGATTGCGAAACGACATTAGACGGCGTCTAAGACGAAGATACCCACCGGCCCCGGAAAAGTGCGCACTTTTTCTTTTTACGATTTTATGGAAAGGAGGCAGGAGGATTGGTTTTTCTCTTGCAAGACAGTTTAGCCAGAGAGTTTTCTTCTCCAAAAGGGAGGAGATACCATTTGATACCAAATTTTTCAAACAAACAAGCGTGGCTTGACTACCTATGCTCATGCTCGTTGTGACTCGTGATATACTCCTTGATGACTAGACCTGCCACTTCACACAAAAGAACACGGAGGCTTGCTTGAAGGAAGTCACATGTCACATCTTTAGTTCCAGGTAGCCGCGCCTTGTGAAGAAGTCCGAGCTCTGTGGCTTTTTCCGCTGAAGAGAGCTCACTTGCGCCACAAGCCACAAAGTTGTCCGTTGCAGGGCAGATGACATTCGCAAGAACAGACGTGGACGTTTGTGTGTCTAAGCATGTCACTGACTCGTCTTTGTGGCGCGAGACCGGGGAAGGCAAATCCATCTGAAGTTCTGAACAAGACGAAGAGTCGTTGTCGAATACCTATAGTGGTAAATGCGTGGGTGTGGTCCCGGTCGTTGCAGGAAACTCCGGAACCCGGGGCGGCGAGCGAACGGACATCCGAACCGGCTAACCCTCCGTGCGCCTGACAAATGTACATGAAAGAGTGTTGCCCTATGCCGCGCGACTACTCGCGCTGTCCATTTTCAGCTTGTTCTTGGCGATTGTGGATTTCTAAAATGTCTAGTTTGTTCTCGTAAGACTGATAAATCTTGTAACACAATGATAAACTTGGGAATATTCTAGGCGCACGCTATGCCCTGTGGCCCATCTCGCGACTTCGCTTTCGCGGTTTGGGGGAGGGATGACAAGTACGGGGTGGAAGCTCGCGGATCCTTGATGGGGTGAAATTCTCATAGGCGCGGCGAACCGCGAGGCTTTGTAAGCTCCTGCGCGAGAGGTCCGGGGTCTTTTCCCCACCATGTCTCTCTCTACTTTGCTTCGGATACAGAGCCAGCAGAGCAACCATCTACAGAGTTCCCATGGTCCATACGCGTACAGAACACATAACTCTGTAGCCTGTAGAAGATCGATTAGAGCTACGCTTAGTCTGTGGTAGGAAAGTCAATACATCGTAAGCATGCACGGCTTGCGGGGACACGTACAGCTTTTTGATTTGTAGTTGCCCAACCAAAAGATAGGTAGCTTATACGGCTTTTCCCCATCTGGGTAGGTCAGATTTCGCGCGGGGCTTCAGTACGATAGACTTTTGTAGATTGTAAATCGACAGTATGAGGTACATACCAAGTCGCCGCTTACATACTCATGATAGTATGGTGAGGTAAGGTGGAGAGGGGAAAGGAATCCTCCTAACGGTTCAGCGCGAACAGGTATGCGCGCGGGCGCGAGGTCCCCAGCCTTGCGAGATTACCACTCTTCAGTATACCTACCGGACGACCCTGTGGGTAAGACGAAGGTGCATGATGATGAGGGGTTCTCCCGCGCGCCCTAGCTTTACCTAATCTGGTAGCTTATGTCGAGGTGTGTCTAGCACTATGTACTCGTCCACGTCCTGAGACATATGCGTCTTGGGGGAGGGGCGGGCAGAGAGGTTCATGAGCGCCATTGTGTATAAAGACCGGACGATCGCTTGGCTTCATTGACGTTGATTCTTGGAGAAGATCATCAAGCTCCCATTCCAAAAGCACTTCAACTCTTACTACTCCAATTCAGTCGCACGATTAAGGTATTTAATGTTCAACACCTCCCCAACATTGGAGTGTGAAGCAGCAAGACGAACACTACTTAACTGACACTTGTGTAAAACAGATCACCATCACAACAGAAACCCCACACACTACACACGAAAATGTCCAAGAAGATCATCACCGTGTTCGGCGCCACGGGCGCTCAGGGCGGCAGCGTCGTCAACATCTTCCTCAACGATGCCAAGCTCAGCAAGGATTGGCAGGTCCGCGGCGTCACCCGCGATGCCGCCAAGGACTCGTCCAAGGCTCTCGCGGCCAAGGGCGTCGAGGTTGTCGCTGTAAGTCATTAATCCGCTTTCGAGCGACTTCATAGCTTTGGTTTAATGATCTTGGAATTGGCATGCTGACGAGTGCTGCGACTTCAAAACACAGGCCGACCTCGGTGACAAGGCTTCGCTGGCTGCCGCTGTCAAGGGCGCTTCGGCCGTCTTCGCCGTGACCAACTACTGGGACAAGATGGACAAGGAGCTGGAGATCCAGCAGGGCAAGAACATTGCCGACGCGGCTCTAGAGGCTGGCGTCGAGCATTTCATCTTCAGCTCCCTCCTCGACGTCAACAAGCGTACGTAACCTGCCTGCCCACTCCCAAAAAGATACATGCATCTGTCACGTTTGCGAATGAGGATCCGGGAACGCTAACATGTCACGCAACAATAGTATCCAAGGGCGCCCTCCCCGACGTGTACCACTTTGACAGCAAGGCCGCCGTCGAAGAGTACATCCGTACGACCTCCCTCCCCACAACCTTCTTCCTCCCGGGCTTCTACATGGCCAACCTCCCCGGGGGCATGTTCCGCCAGACGCCCCCCGACGACGCCTGGGGCCTCAGCCTCCCCGTGCCGGCCAGCGCGCCCATCCCCTTGTTTGACGCAGCGGCCGACACGGGCAAGTTTGTAAAGGGCATCGTGCTGCACCGCGAAAAGGTGCTCGGCAAGCGGGTATACGCGGCGACGAACTACGTGACGGCGGGCGAGGCGGTCGAGACGTTCAAGAAGGTGTACCCGGAGGCGGGCAAGACGGCGCGGTTCAACGAGCTCACACACGAGCAGTTCAAGGGCGCGCTCAAGGGCCAGGGGATGCCGGATTTCGTGGCTGAGGAGATGTTGCAGAACATGAGGCTGCTCGACGAGTTTGGGTACTATGGTGGGGAGAAGCTGGACGAGTCGCACGCGATTGTTGAGGATAAGTTGACGACGTGGGAGGAGCATGTGAAGAATGCCAAGGCCTTTTCTGGACTGTCGTAGGTCCTGGTCTACTATGCTAGATCGGCTTGTTAGCTTGCAATAAGTAAAAATAATTGATGGATGAAATCATGTTAATGGTTTTTTTTTTTTTTTTTTTTTTTTTTTTTTTTTTTTTTTTTTTTTTTTTTTTTTTTTTTTTTTTTTTTTTTTTTTTTTTTTTTTTTTTTTTTTTTTTTTTTTTTTGGTTGCTCCTATGTTTGAAAGTAGGATTAAGTGTCGAACATCTTATGTTGGTGAAATAATTGAAGGGCGGATCAACTTAGTTCGCGGCGAGATGGCATGTCAGTGCTAGTAATGTAATGCAACGACTCTGCAGCACGAATCGTCGATCAGCAAATCCAGCAAAGCGTCGAGTCCCCAAACAACCGGGGAAACCCCAGATTCAAGAGTCTTGGAAACGGTAAAGCTAATGCGAAATGGCGACGGGAGGGACGACAAATTTCCCCAGGGTGCAAGATGCCTCGGCAGAAGGACGTGACTGCGGCGCGGGTGCGAGGCCTGGGCCGCCCACGTCGGAACTAACGTGAAAGATACCGAGGCAAGAATGGAAGCCACTGGACGCAGAGAGGAGGAGCGGGACCCGCCCGTCCCCGACCCCATCTTTTTGACATTCTGCGCCTCCAACCGCTGACTCTCCCGAGCCTCCCCCAAAGGCCAAAGTCTCCAGTTTCCTCTCCTCACCTCATCCACCTCACTTCACTGCCAATCGCCAAGCACGAGCCTCCGGGGTCACTTGCCCAGCACTGTGACTGCGTCCCCGTCCGCCGCGGCCCCCCATTATTACTCAGGTGCATTGCGCTGCGAGCCCAACTTGTTTCCGCCATCCCAGCGACCCTCCAGCTTTCTCTTACCCGTGGCCCATCCCCGACCCTATCTTTCCCTCTCCTCTCTCCAACACGTCGCAAAACGTCGTTCGAATCCCCATTTTCACTGCATCTCCCATTGAGGTTGATTTTCAGTTCAACCCGACGACCTGGCCGGTTAACGCCAGCCTCCGTCGCGCATATCCGGAGCCCCAGCGTGCAGCAACCGGCAAACCAACACGACTCGAGAAAATCGCCACCGGCTGCGCTCCCGATAGGCGGATTGCGAGATAACGCCGAGCCAGCGACCACCACCACCACACAGTATCCAAGGAAAACTTCTTCCTCGCGGGAAAAGTAATTATGGCTTCCCCTCCAAAGCCCTGGGAACGGGCCGGTGCTCCAACAACAGCTGCCTCAAGTGCGTTGAACACCACAAACGGTCCTTGACCGTCGCCAATTTCACACATTTTGCTAACGACCACTCTAGTCACACCCATGTCTGCCGCATCTATCGCGACCCCGACACCGGCCACATCCCTCTCCGGTGGTACCCCGCCCGCCGTTCCCGAACGACCTGCCTCTCTCGCCTCCACGGTTGACCAAAACGCTGCCGCTTATAGCAGAGCAGGCTTAGGTGCGGCCGCCAGTCCCTACGGCTCATACGGCGGCGGTGCCTACTCTTCTCCCTACAGCAGCCCATACTCAAGGATGGGTTCCTACGGCAGCTACGGCGGTGGTATGTACGGTGGTGGCATGTATGGCGGTGGCTACGGCGGTGGCATGTATGGTGGAGGCATGTACGGCGGCGGTATGGGCATGGGCGGTATGGGAGGCATGGGAGGGCCCAACGACCCGAACAGCCTTACCAACAGATTCAACAACAGCACGCAGGCGACATTCCAAATGTTGGAAGGCATCGTTGGTGCCTTTGGAGGCTTTGCCCAGATGTTGGAGAGCACATACATGGCCACACACTCAAGCTTCTTTGGTATGTCCACTGCGTCACATGAAAGCGAAGTATGACTAACAGATATCACAGCAATGGTGTCAGTAGCAGAGCAATTCAGCAACCTTAGGGATACCTTGGGCTCGATACTCGGTATCTTCACCTTGATGCGTTGGATCCGAACCCTCATCGCCAAGATCACCGGCCGCCCGCCTCCAGCCGACGCGACCGCGCTCACGCCAGCAGCCTTTGCCAAATTCGAAGGCCGATCGCCCATCGGCCCCGACGGTGCTCCCCTGGGACCCCCCAAGGCTTCCCGCAAGCCGCTCTTCTTCTTCCTCCTTGCCGCCTTCGGTCTCCCGTACCTGATGCGCAAGATGATCAACACCATGGCTGCATCTGCGGAAGAAGAGGAACGTCGCCGTATGGCTCTGGCCGGCGCGCAACAGCCCTTGGACCCGTCCAAGCTTGATTACTGCCGTCTCCTGTACGACTACGCTCCTCAGCCTGGCAACGCCGTCAAGGACGTTGACATGGAAGTGCGCAAGGGCGACCTTGTCGCTGTTCTCTCCAAGAGCGATCCTATCGGTAACCCTAGCGAGTGGTGGAGGTGCCGCGCGCGTGATGGCCGTACCGGCTACCTCCCCTCAACCTACCTCGAGGTGATTAAGCGACCTGGTCAGCCTCTCGCTGCCATCAAGGGTGCGCCCAGCGACAGCAGTCGAACCAACTCGCTCACTGGCGCCGCTCCCGAAAAGGGACCGGAGATCAAGACGAAGATCGGAGACGTTTCGCCCGAGAGCTTCCAGAAGAGCGTGTTCTACAACTAAACTATATATAAACAACCCGTAACGAAGGGCGACCTATCCGGCAGGAACGATAAAGCGGTGTGACGAGTGATGCGGCGAGTGGAGAGACGAATTTTTCTTTGTAGGTTTTGTACGATTCAGTTCCCGTCTGGGATGTTTGTAAGTCCGGTTAGGACTCAAAAGCTGGGCGTTCAGGTTCATGATCGCGTCCCTTAGTAGTGGGAGCGGATGGAGTTGCCGCTTGGTTATCTTGGCCTCAATTTGATGTGTGATTACGCAGTTCAAAGCCATGAGTAGCGGTAGTGTAAGCGACAGGATTCTTGACCATCAACTATCAATTATCAAATCATATCTGTTGCTGTGCATGTTGAGAGAAGAAATGCAAAGTCTAAACGCGACGAGACAAGACTTGTGACTAAACTGGCATATTTGCGGCTCTAAAGTATACTACCTGCGAGACCATGAGCGGGTTCTGGACCGGGTTAGTTCGTCAGAATACCTATCCGCTTTTGCACTGCTATCATTCCATGTCTGGACAATTCCACGATTGACGTCACATGGGATGACAAGCGTCAGAAGCCAGTCGTACTCCAGACTCATAGGTATTGGTTGCCGGTATGCTCCCATCTGGTGACAGCTGGCGACACAGCCGTCACTGAACACTTTTGCGGACACAAAGGCCACTCGACGGGCTCAGCTGAAAGCCCGCAAGCCGCAGCACACCACTGAAGAAGACCATAGAAAAGCTGCGTGCCTGAGCTCCCCCAGTGGCTCCCTCCGCAAACCCTGGGAGGGAGTGTGCACGAGCCACCGATGACGTTGTTGACTTACGTCTTTTTTACGGCTGCTCTGGCACACTGCTAGCTGCACTTGCTAGCTGCTCCCAGCCCTGTTCTCCCGCCAAGGTCCCTCTCCCGTCCCGGCTACGTAAGGGTTCCTCTCATTGAGTTCCATACCTTACGCAGTACCTACCTTACCTTCAGGTGCTCAGGCAGTCGTCAAAGAGGGTACTTGTATTCACGTACCTGCCACCTTTACTTGCCAGAATTACCGGACCCCATCGTCACCCTCACGCCCATCCTACAAAAGGCCAGCTCCGCCCAGCCCGTCAACTATACTCCTACAAATCACAGCTCCAGACACCAAAATCTCCCCTCGCCAAGAACGATACCCAACAAGAACACAACCGAAGAAGTCAGTTTGGGCTTCCGAGTGTATTCCTTCGCACGACACATCTCTCCCTGTATCCACGGAGAGCACACGACCACAATCCCTTTTTCTAACTAGCTGTCCCGAGAGCTGAAGCTTTCCCCGCACCAGTCAAGATGACTCTCTACTACACTCTCGTACGTCTACAGCACCCGGCTTCAAGCTGCCATCTATCCTCTTTGCCATTGGTCGAATGACTAGCTTGCCGAGCCGTTGACTACATGTGCTGACTTTGTGCGTCACAGGTGTTCATGCTCCTCATGGCGGAGATGGGGCTTTTCATGCTCCTTCTGGTGCCCCTTCCCTTCGCCGTCAAGCGGAAGTTGTTCACGTACGTTCCTCCCCCCGTCGACCGCTTCTCCACGGCCGAGCCCATACCAATCATCCCGAACCGATTACTGACGTACACTTCTTTGCAGCTTCATCTCCGAGAGTCCAATCGTGGCAAAAGTGCAGTATTGGATGAAGATCACATTCGTCTTCATCCTGATTCTGTTCATTGACAGCGTCAACCGCGTTTACCGCGTCCAAGTCGAGTTGGCGATTGCGACTGAGAACCAGAACAGCGGGTACGTCTCCTGTGCCCCTCTTTCCGGCGTTCCTGAGACGCTCCCTTGATTGAGCACCACAATCAAACTCTACAAACTCCCTGATGTACACAACGCTAACAAAGATGTTGTACAGCGCCGCCGTCATGGGTCACGAACGCCTTGAGGTGCAAGCCCGCAAGTTCTACTCCCAGCGCAACATGTACCTTTGCGGCTTCACCCTCTTCCTTTCCCTCATCCTCAACCGCACCTACGTTATGATCCTTGAGGTGATGCGTCTGGAGGACAAGGTCCGCGGCTACGAGGGTACCAAGGGCAACACCAAGGAGAGCGAGAAGCTTGCCGTTGCCGGTGATGCCGGTGAGATCGCCAAGCTTCGCAAGCAGCTTGAGGAGAAGAACCGCGACCTCGAGACCCTCAAGAAGCAGAGCGCCGGTCTGCACAAGAGCTACGACGAGCTCTCTGACCAGTACGCCTCTACCCAGCTCAAGGGTGACAAGAAGGCGCAGTAATTCAGCACAATGGATACGGATATTCGATTCAATGAAGTGTTCTTACATGAACGAAAGCGCCGCCTGAGTGCGGCATAAAAGGGGGTAGTGGGAGAGCGACAGAATAGCTCCGGGTCATTGGCCCGTTTCACTGGTATAGAGGCGTACGTAGGAAGCCTGGATGGCGTTAAGCTCTAGCTCTAGCTCTAATAAAGCTTCTCCTTTTAACACAATACACTCCATACTTATGCTCCCAAAGTAGATGCTGCTGCGGGGCGCCTCGTTATGTCGACCGAGCAGAAAGACAGTAGTGTCCCAGCTGTTGGACCCGGATGATGTATAAAATGCCACCCGCCTTCCATTTTCTACGGAGCTTCGAGCAGCTGGCACTTCGATTTCTGAGGCATGCACCGGTCAGGAAGAAGATCCACAGACAGGATTAACGCATCGGTATCATCTGTCGATTTCACTGCTCTAATACGTCCCAATCAGCCAAAGCACTCTCTCGTACTGGGTAATCGTAGTCATCCTGAATTTATTCACAAGAGTATCAACGACGTTGCCACGGGAAGCTACAGGATGGTGATATCGGACGAATCATCAAAATGCACCTAGATTGGGGGGGGGAAAGTAGTGCTATCGGTCATTTGGGCCACTAACAACGTGCTCACAACAAGGAAAAACGCATCCCGTGTTCCTCGATACCCTCGCAGTCATGCGTCTATGGCCCAAAGGTATGTATGATGCATCTCTTCTACGTCCTTATATAAGTCCCGCCAGCTCAGTCATGACGGCCCCTCTTTGCTATTGCTGCCCGGGAGGTCGTATTCCCTCCCTAGGAAAGAACCGGAGGAAATATGTATCTCGTGCTCAAAGGCCTGGCTGTCTGGAAAACCTCATTCCATCTAGAAAGGCTCACAGCCCTTGCAAGGGCCTTGGAAGTTGGCCACGGCTCCGATGCAAGCGACATCAGCGAGGGGGTCTACATCAAAGTCAGCCGTAATCCCCATGCGCTACTTCCGCACATGAGCGACTTACTCAAGAAGAACTCATCGACAGCAGCTCCGCAAGCCGGGATCAGGGCCGCAAAGGCACCGATGCATGCTAGTCCACCCCTTTTTGTCAGCCAGGTCATATTTCCTAAAGGTGTGTGTCTGTGTATCCGTGGAGGGAGGAAGAACGGAAAAGGGAGACTCACACCAGACATCGCAGCCTCTGGCCTCGTGACCTCTCAGTTTGGCAATGGCGTTGTTGCAGGCGCCGAGGTTGTTCGAGGTCTCGCACTGGTACTGCCTCTGCCTCTTTGCCAGGGTGGCCTCGACGGCGTTGGCGTCCGAGGGGACGGCGGATGCGAGGGGGAGGAGGGCGGCGAGGAGGGCCACGGTGTTGATGTTGAACTGCATTGTGTAGATTGAAGATTTCTTGAAATTTCTAAGAAGAGAAGGAGGAGTAGAGCAGTGGGTGGATGGCTTGGGACTTGTTTGGAGAAGTGGACTTGATGATGGGAGGTATCTTGGTGAAGAGTTGTGTTCCATGGTGATGGACATCTCTTGTATTAATACATCTTGAAAGTTAGAGGCAGGTTACATTTCTGTTCGAAATCTGAATTCCTTCAACTGCTTTACCGATGAACATCATATGCGTAACTTCAATAATGAGGACTTGGCAATTTGGCGGTGGTCCGACGAACAGGCTCACGAACTCGTGTTCGGACGGCCGGCTACCAGTGGGAGAGTTGGAAGCATGAAGAGATGAAGCATGAAGAGGTGAGGCTTTCCAGGTTGCTTGGCAAATAACATCCACCATGGGCTCTTCTCACGGCGGTACGGCGGTGAAAGAAGTTGAAACACTTCGGGTATATTGCTTTAACCCGTGCTATAGAGATCCGTGGGAGGCTGGAACTCTCCTCATTCGACAATCACTCGTGTAGTCCAATCTAGAGAAACATTTGACTGGTCATAAACTTTCCGTAGAGTCCGACTCCATATTGGTTGTTTGTCGACTGTGACTGACACAGGTTCCTGGTCCAACTCTGGAGTTGTCGTTCGGTTGTTCCTTGGTACGCTCTTGGCGATGGGGGTCTCGGCCGAGTTGCCATCCACAAGAAACGGTTGACAACTTGGGTCTGGTTAAGGTTATGAGTTGCGGTTAAATGCGAAAGAAAGACTTCGGGGGGGAGTTGTCAACTAGTCTGATACTATAATTAATTAAACAAGAAGAAAGCTCACAGGTAACTTTTGCTGACTCTGATTGCGCCACGGTTGATCATGGCCTCTTATAGGACCCCAGTCTATGCAGATCAATGGGGATACTGGGAATTTTGGGAAAAGCTGGTGTCCGCTTCTGGCTTTATCAATCTCTAGAGCCTAGTGTAGGGAAAGATAAGAATTTGCGTGGATAGTATATTTCGGGCTCGCGTGGGATGCGGCTTGGCGCGTAAAAGTATCGTGAATCATGTTGCTGGTGTTAAAGGGCTTGAAGCGGCCGCTCCATTCTGCGGCCCTGGGTTGACGGACGGACGGAGTTACGAGGCCAAGGAACTTGGTCAACGAAGTCATGCATCTTGGAGTCTTGGAAGGTTTGTGGTCCAACATGCCTGAATGAGAGGTGGGAAGTTGATGCAAAGAGGAGAACTTGGTGAAGAGATGCGATAGTCAATGACTTGTATAAGATGACTGACGATGCCCGGTTCCTGGAAGAATAGTCATCTCATAGACATCATCCTCACTTCCTCAGTTAATCTCGTTTCTATCAGGCATCTAACTTGAATCATCTAAAATCCAACTTTTCCTCACAGCCAACATGAAGTTCAACGTCGTCAGCCTCATTTCCCTTGCAGCTTGGTATTAACATCCCCGCCTCTGGAAAGAATCTTTCCGCACAGCAAAACAATACAATGATGAAAGCTAACGATGGGAAATCACCAGGGTGCCGCTCGCAGCAAGCCAATTCTCCTGCCACTGCCAAATCATCAACGATGGCAACGCAGTCATCGCCGCAATCAGACTCTGTGATGCCGTTGGCGGAACCCTCTGCTATAACTCTGCCGGGAACTACAATGTCGTAAGTGAAACCTGTCTGCTATCTTTCTCCTATACACATTGCTCTTGCCATATCTAGCTGCCAGAGAAGTGGAATGCTAACCACAATCGACGACCGGCAGTGTAAGACGTCAAGCCAGTGGACCGAGCAGCAGTGCAGGGACACGTTCAAGGGCATCAACCAGCCGAACGAGAGGTTCAGGGCCGTTTGCACCGCTTACAACGGCGCTGGGTGCCCGGCCTGATTCCGTCGTGTCATGTACCTAGTCTCAGGTGACAGGAGGATCAGGGGACGTTTGATCCTCTATAGGGATTTCTTCGCGGATCAAGGGTTGTCATATAGATCTGGAGGAAGACAGTTCTAAGCAATGATCGAGACGTTTTGCTCATACGATGAGAAGAGTGAACAAGTGACGGTCTTGCCGTATCTTGTATTCCAAGCATATTGCTAGGTAGGCAACACGCTAAGTGCTAGAGAGAGGAACAACTTTGACTATGCCTTTGCTATCTATATAAACTTAGCGGAATGAGTAGGGACGCTTATCCTACACTATTCCTCAGTCGTTCGACTGACTAGAGCATTACTAACTAGAGTATTCCATACATACTCCTGAACATCTACGGACCAAGTTCCTTCAACTTGTCGAGGTGCCCACGCTGGCATGGTCCCGAAACCTGTAGAAATTCCGACACCTCGCGTCCTCGCACCACGTCACGTTCTTGAACTCGATGTCTTCGACTAGATTGTGAGACGAGGGATCCAAAGCCTGGTACCATTGCGAGTCGCAAGGTTCCAACGCCTGGGCAGTAGACATGCGCCGCCGTATCGAGCGATTGTGAGACAAGATGACGCAGCCATCGTGTTCACTACAGCCCGAGAATTCAGTATGTATATACGCCGTGCCGTCTCCAGACCACCGATCCTCTCTGTGATAATCTACCTCTGTGCGATTAGTACTCGTACTTGTAGTCAAGTCTCTGTCTCGAACCTATTGGGGGGAAACTTACGGGGACACTCGTTTGCAGACGGATCCCAGTTGAACGGGCCAGCAATTCACTCCTGCTGGATTCTCTCCCTCTCGTTCTCGTCGACTACGCAGATGCAACGGAATGACTTGAAGCTTGCCATGGCATCGATTTGACGAGGTCCTTCCTCTGGGAACCATGGGCAGGGCGACTGCCCCCGCTGCGTCTCCAGGACTTGCCGAAGATCGCTGGCAAGTAACAAGGATCCCGGTTGTGTTCTTAGCTTGTATGCTGGAATCTTTACGTGGGCTCTCCTGTCGAGACCAATTTCACTGGCCCAGGAAGCGTAGTTATTAGTATGCTCGAACGTTGCCTGGACTTCACTGGGTGTCCCTGTTCCTGTCTCGGCTCTGTGCGGTGACATCCCAAGCCGCGCGCGGAGGATCACTGGCTTTTTTGAAGCTCCTAAGTGATCTGGATGGTTACATGTGATGCTCGTGTCCGCATTGGTGGTCGAAGAAGTGTGCACGAATTCGTCCCAGCCAAACGTCCTGTGCTCGCAGAGCCTGATATGTCCCTCTCGACCGATGCAGATCCGTTTGTTGGGCTCCTCTTGTCGTTGCTTTGCCGAGAAGAGGGATGATGGGTGGTCTCGACGGCATCCTGAGCAGTATAATGGTAAGACTGCCGCCCTGCTTTTCTGGCTCGAGTGATCCCTGTTTTCTGTGCAAGGTCTGCAGAAAGAACCCGATGTGTTGTTTGAGCGCAATATCTCTCTTGCAATTGTATTGCGAGATGTAGCTGGAATCAAGGGGCGCGTGTTGGCATCACCCAGCCGCCAAGATGAGTTCTTTGGGTTATCCGGCACTGCAGTAAGATTGCGAACGGTCTCATCTTCGTCCAAACCATTTCCTGTATCTAGGAAATCCCCCTCATCGGTAGTTACGCTACCTATAAGGTGATCAGGGATAGGTTCGCCGTCATCTTCAACTGTCAGAGACGTACTCCCTTGGTGGATATCATCATGTGAGTTCTCTTCAGCCTCGTCGATAACAACGGGGATGTTTGTGGCTCGAAAGAGGCGTCGCAAGTGGCCTAGAACAAAACATAGGGGGCAGGGTAACCCAGGAGGCGCGTCGTTTGCCATCTTGGAAATTGTATGCAGCGTCGAAGCGGTAGATGTCTACGTTAGGAGGCGATGCCAACTTACTTATAGATACCTGCGAACCAGAAAGGTTGTCCGGAAAGTCTTCATCTGCATTGAAGCAGAAGGCACAGCATAGATTTAGCTTTCCCATAAGGCAGACACTCAATGTGAAGAGGAAAATACAATTATTTGAGTCGAGTTAATGGAGTTAAGGTCTACAGTTCTGAATCAATTCTATGGCTGCCGCTCCTACTATTGCCCTTGGTAGTGTGAGTCTATCGCCATGTAATCACGGTAGAATATGCCCATGAAGCCCCGCAGCAAAGGCAAGGACTTATATGATAATGAAGCCAGGCACTCGTGGCTAAGAAACCATGAGTACTGAATCCATCGGATTAGGAAATCAGGATCAATAGGTCGTCCGCCGGAAGGTACGATACGTAATGAGAAGGGGCAGCACGGTGATGTTGTCTCCTTCCCAAGCTGGCAAGATTTCAGCTGGCCCTCGACCACCGACTTCCCAACTTGCCTCATCCTTCTCACCACCCTCATACCTTCTCAGAGGAAACACTACACACGAAGGACCAGAGAAATCGTCCGGTGCCCACACCGCCGCCTCCTTTGGTTTCCACAGCCCATCTCAACCTTTCCTTCACCAAGCACCCGAACATCGTGAAGAAAAGAATTCCCAACATAAACAAAACTAAAAATCTCTCCCACCTTAAAGCCGACGACATACACCGCACAATGGAGCAAACCCAAGCCTCCGAGACCAGAGAGGCCAGACCTCGCCGCATCCGCCTTCACCACCCGTACGTCACATCACACCACAGAGAAAAAAAAAAACCAAAAACATTTACAGACCCAACAATCGAAGAAGAACAACAGCTAACCTTTGACTCACGAAATCCAAACAGTGGCCGCTTCAAAACCTTCACCCTAAGTCTCATGTGCGCCACCTTCGCCGTCTTCGGCGCCCTCGTCATGGTCGCACTCGCCCACACTCCCAAGGTGAACAACGAAGTCCAAGCCATCAACTCGACCATCACCACCGGCAGTGACTCTACCACAGCTGCTATCATCGCCGTCACCGCTGCCGCTGGCCATGTCCCTACTCCTGTGAAGAAGGTCCCCCACGAAGACGAGGAGAAGGGTCACGTCCTTCCCGAGGTCACCACCAAGGCTACCACCACGCTGTACACCGATGACAACACCACGCTCATCTTTACTACTCACAGCTCCCAGGTCTCGGTCGTCGCTGAGGGTAATGCTACTTCCGTTTAGAATGTCTTTCGGCAACACCTGGCCGGCCATCCTATCGACCGAGGCCACTTCCGGGGTATCGTACAGATTTGAAGGAGGTGGGCATGCAGGGAGGTCTTTCGGGTGAGGTGGTGATGCAGTGGGCTTCGTCATATCGTTTGTTTGCTCTGGGAGAGTTCGTAGCACGGCGGAGGATCGTACCGGTGCGGAGAGGATAATGAGTTTTGGTCAATGAGATCACGGGAGGACAGGAATAAGGGAGAAGGAGAGGCATTCTGATCTTCTTGTTGCGTTCACAGTGGTGGACGTTGGGAACAAAGAGGCAACTTGCTGTTGTAAGGGAACCACGGGATACTAAGTTCCTGGCGATGCTTCGCGCTTCGTTTGAATGGATCCAACGGCAATAGTGGTTGAATCATTCAGAGACGTCACTAGGTTCACAATGCCATCGAATACCAGAATCCTGAACGATATTTCTTCCTCTCAAGTGATTGCAACAAAAACTTTTGATTCTTCTTCTTCTCTGTTCCACTTCCAGCTATATCTCGTGTTTCCTCAAAGTTTGAGTTACGTCGAGGATGCAACTACATCTGAACGCGGCATCTCCGCGCTGAACGAAGCTCAAGATAGAAAGAAAGGTATCCCTCCACCTCTGATTTTTTTTCCCCGCGGGCTTCTCATTCCAGGTCCAGATATAACTCTAATGCTTCTTTCATGTTGTCCATATAACCAGCATCTAGCCCTCGGCCTCGTAGGCGTGGGACTTGTGCTTGGGCTGGAACGTAAAGTTGGGGTGAGCGGGACCGAGGAACATCTCGCTGTAATACGAGTTAGCAAAATCGTTCTTGAACACGTGGCATTCACCCAGGCAGAAAAGTGCAAAGAAGATTCAACCAACACGTACCTAATCTTGATCCAATCCTTGTAGTTCTTACTAGCAAGCAGCGTCTCCAGGTCGTCGCGACCGCGGTACGCCGGCGGGCGATCGTTCAGGTCGGGCGGCAGGTGCTCCAGCAGGCCGAGGGGCACGTAGCGGTGCGAGAAGCTGAGCCACTCGAGCAGGAAGCGGCGCGTGAAGCCGATGCCCAGCTCGTCGGTGCCCCAGGCCTCCATGCCGTAGCGGCAAAACTTCTCCACGTACGCCAGGCGCTCCGTCGCCGACTTGTCGAGGTACTGGCCCTTTTCAATCTCCTCAAAGAGCCAGGGCTTGACGAGGGCGCCGCGGCCAATCATGAGGGTGTCGACCTTGGCCTTTTCGACGTGCTCAAAGTACTCGACGTGGGAGTAGCAGTCGCCGTTGCCGAGGAAGAACATGCGGCCGTCCTTGGCGTTGGGGAGGGTGGACTCGTCCGCCTCGCGGACCGTGTCGGTGATGTCGTCCTTTTGCTCGTTGTAGGCCTTGATCATGGCGGCGCACTCGGCAATGTAGCCCCAGTCGGCCTTCTTGGTGTACCGCTGCTCCCTGCTGCGGCCGTGGAGGGTGATGGCCGCGCAGCCGGGGGCGCCGAGGCGGTCGCGGTTCTCGCGGGAGCCAAAGGCGAGCTTGCCGAGGATGGTCGTCGCCGTCGGGCGGTTCTGCCTGACGCCGGTGCGGAGCTTGACGGTGATGGGGATCTCGCCGGACACGGTGTTCATGCCGCGGACCATGCGCTCCAGCTTGCCGTGGGCCTCGAGCAGCGCGGAGCCGCCGCCCGACTTGAAGACCATGTCGATGGGGCAGCCGCAGTTGAGGTCGATGAGGCGCAGGTGGGGCACGTAGCGGTTAAGAAGATCGGCCGACTTTACACAGTGCCATGCCTGGCTGCCGGAGATCTGGGCTCCAAACTTGAGATCGCGCGCGTTATCGTAGCCCTGGACGATGTTGCTGCCCGGGTTGACACGGGGCGGGCTGATCTCGGACTCGTGGGCCTTCATCAGCGCCCAGTCGTTCTTGACACCTTGAACCAAGGGCATACCCAGGGCCATCTCGGAGTAGGTGAGTTGCGCGCCAAGCTCGACGCAGAGGCGGCGGAAGGGCAGGTTGCCCTGGGTGGTCAGGGGCGCCAGGGCGGGCGTCTCCTTACCAAAGTACAGCTTGCGCTTCTCGGACGGCTTCAGGGGCGGGTCGACAAACTGCGCGCGAAGGTCCTCCTGGGTGCTAATCACTTGGTCTTTGCGGCGCTGGTGGAACGCATCGCCCAGCTTCGCCTCCTTGTTCATCCAGGAGATGTACTTATCGGTCTCCGTGAAGTCGATGCGCTTGCGGCTGAGGTCGATCTTCAGCTGGTTCTCGGTGTTGTTGTAGACGCCGGGACGGAGATCTTCGCGACCGGTCTCGGCGGGCGCTTCGCCGCTCGTCTTCGTGGCCTCCTTGGGCTCCTCGACGAGAACAAGCTCCTTGCGGCCGTCCTCGTGGTCAACCTCCTTCATGTGGCTCTTGACGAAGCGACACTTCCAGCCGGACGAGCAGACCCCGAACTGCTCGTAAACGGGGCACTTGCCCTCAAAGGTCTCGAGGTCCTCGCGGCGGCCCTCCCTGAGATACTTGCGCAGATCATGAAGCATGTTGCATCGCTCTCCAAACTTGCATTCGCGCGGGGAGAACTCGGGGGCGTAGGCGCGGGTGTTGCAGAGGCGGAGATTGTCGTCAAAGTGACCAAAGGTGCGCTCCTTGTTCTGGCCCTTTTCCCGCTTCTTCTTGTCGCGCTTGTCACGGCCGTCACGACTGTCACGGGCATCGCGGCTATCGCGAGCATCGCCCTGGTCACGACCCTCGGCAGCATCATCGTCGACGACCTCATCTTGCTCCTTCACTTGACCCTCCCTGTGAATGAGAAACCTATTTCACATGTCAATCTCGTGAGTCTGTAGAACATTCTGAGGGATACCCACTCGGCCTTGATTGGCGCCTGGCCCTTTCTCACGTCTCTGGCATCTTGCTTCGGCTTTGCAGACTCCCCCTCGTCCGGCTTTTCGACAGCAGGTGCCTCGCTCATCGGGACATCAGCCTTCTCACCGTTGCCAGTGGCAGGGACAGGCTCCACGCGCTTCGTAGCCTCATCGACAGCAACGCGTTCCTCAGCAGCCTGAGCCTCGGCAGGCTTCGCAACCTTCTCAGTCTGCTGCGGCGTGGAATCGTCCACCTTAAGACGCTTCGCTGCGCGTTGCTCAGACTCGTCGATCTGGGGCTCTTGGTTCTCCATTTTTGCCCCTCAAGTTTCTTTTCCTTGGGTGCTATACAGATGGAGAAGGCGTCGAATTGGCTCTTCCTGAAAGAGAAAGTCAGATAGAGGACGAGCCAAGGATGTGGCTGGGAAGGAGAAGGTGTGGGTCAGTTAAAGGTCAAGAAGTCCCTACTGAGGTTGTGAGAGAAAGAGAGAGTGAGAGAGAGGATGAAAAAGGGTAGTAGAGGTAGATTTTTCTACCTACTTTTCCGCTTTCGACTTGAGCTGGAGAAGTCGTAACTAGCTATAGTAGGAGGTGGGAGGGTCAATTTAGTATGCGAGATTCGCTTCTGACTGATTCAAATCGCTCCGCTGAGCAATTGGCAATGGAGAATGTTCGTCTGTATTGCAGTTCGTCCTTCTCGAGGTTACGGCTTGAAGGGAAAAAGTTGATGTCACAGGCTGAGCTCAGAACGTTAAGTGGGGCAACCTCATGGAGGGGCACAGTTCGCGCGATGCAAGCGCGGCACTCCGTTACACTCAGATGCCTTGCATTCAACGTCAGCTCGCCGCACGCTGTTCAGCTGAAGCTCATTTATTCACACTGCATACATCGATAGTTCGTTGCATTATTGGAAGAAGATTGTCACGGCAAGAATTCATCAAGCAATCAAAGGACCAAGCATACAAAATCGAATCCTGGTTCCCACACCCTTACTACCTTACTGTATAACCATGATAGACCCCGCTAGTCGATGCCTTCATCGATGAACATTCGGAAATGGACTGGATGTACGCTGTATCTCTAGCTCGCGGTGCAACTGTCCGAAACAGGCTGGCAATCGAGAGCTCTCATCAACCATCATCCACCAGTTCCCAAGGGCCGCAACCGATGCATGCCCTCTCGTCCTATCGTATCGAGGAAACCCGCAAGATTCCCAGCTGCTTCCTGCTCTTGCCCGAGCCGTGTCTAGAGATCGAATAACGAACGGCCACCTGCTAGAGTTTGACCCTGCCAAGTATCCCAACCTGGCCATCACTCGACTCGGCTATTACGCCTTTCGCAGGCATCGTCCGTGTTATGACCGGTCTCGAGTAGGCGCTCATGTCCTTCGGGGAATTCCACCTGCCGAGGGTATTGGTGATGCCGCCGGAACCGCATGCTTCGCCTATTGTGTTCTGATCTGAAATGTTCTGCCCGGTTGCCCGACTGATTGTAACTCATAATAATCCATCAATGAATGGAGATTCTCTGCTGTCCCACGTCTCCCCGGCGTACCTCCTCATCAAACGCTTCGCGGCTCGACATGTGCAGGCTGCGCCAATGTTAGTGACTGCGTAGTCTTTGCGTTCCAAGTTTGTCTCATGTCTACTCACCGGACTGTTGAGCATGCTCTGTCTCTTGTTCCTGCCCTTCTTAATGTGGCTCTTCAGCGCACTCGAGTCTAGCGGCTTAAGCAGCTCGAAGCTGCAAAGCAATTCATTCGAAACGGACATGACCGCACCCCAGTTGTCGAACTCGCCACAGTACTATGACCACATGTTAGCAGAGCTCGTCCGGAACAATTGGTAGAGACTTACGTTGGGGGCGCTGAAGACCGTTACAAGGACTCTATCGTTGAAGAATTCGTAGCCGTCCTCAACCACCATGTGCGCTCGACAAATCAAGTCAAAGTCGTGGGTCGCAAGGAAATCCAATATCACTCTTTTGCCGAAACAATAGCTCACGCCTCTCTCGTTGGCCTCCCAGTCTTGCTCCATGTCGGCCGGATCAGACCACAATAGGTCGTTCAGCAGGCCGTAGTCGGGAACATCGGTAGGTCGAGCAATGTTGCGAATGTCGTCCATGTGGCTGAGGGCGGGGGAGAGACCTCCGTGCACACAGAAAATTTTGCCAGCGACGATGGCAGCAATCGGGAGGGTGTTGAAGCAGTCAATGAAGGTCTTCCAGATCTTGACATTGCAGCGGCGCTTGCACTCGTCGTAAAAACCGTACACTCTCGTAACATTGGCGCACTCATGGTTTCCTCTCAGCAAGAAGAAATTTTCGGGGAACTTGAGCTTGTAGCACAGAAGCAGCAGGATCGTCTCGAGAGACTGCTTGCCACGGTCGACGTAGTCGCCCAGGCAGAGGTAGTTGGATGAGGGCGGGAAGCCACACATCTCGAACATGCGAAGCAGGTCCGTGTATTGGCCGTGTACGTCACCGACAATTTTGACCGGGGCGTCAAGCTCCAGAAGAGCGGGTTGGGAGAGGAACACTTCGCGAGCCCGTTGGCAGATTGCGACAATTTCGGCGTTCTTCAAGCATACGCTCTTTGTGACCTTTCCAGCGTAGCCCGCGTCCAGAAGACGCTTGATGAAGTCGTCGAGGTCGATGTCCTTGATCTCGCTCATGGCAACACCTCCCTCATGTCTATCCCCCGAGTTTGTCGACGAGGTTTTGGCGACCGGGGTTGCAGCGCCATCTGCGTTCTTGGTGGCCAGGATGGACTTGCCCGGCTGCTGCATGTGGGTATTGAGACTGCCTCCGGCACAAGGGGGTTGGTCGGAGACGTGGTCGACCTCTCCTGATGCCTGCGCTGCGCTCACGTCGTGAACACCGCTCTTGATCGTGCTAGACTGGGTCGGGGATGGCGGCGGCTGAGAGTCATCGAGCGGGGATTCAATGTCAGTCGATGGGGACGTCGGCGACGTGGCGGAGTCATTGCGGCTTCGGGGGACACCGGACTTTGCGCTTTTCCCCGACTTGACCGAAGCAGCGTCGGATTTTTCTTCGGTCGGGGAGGTGATGACTGAGTTCCTTGGGCTGTCCGTCTTGCTCGAGCCGGGGATCTTGGACCTCAGGGCCTTGAAGGAGCGGGAAGAGTCCTTGGTGTCGGATCTGCCAAAGGAAGGGTAGGACTTGAGAGGTTCAGCGGTGCCGTCGCCACCAGGGCCTTTGGTGGAAGCGTGGCCACCCTCCTTGGATGGCTGGTTTCCCATGATGTAGCTCTTATGCCGATGCAAAAGGAACAACGACGGTTATTGATGTAGGTGTCGTATGTCGGGTTGTGCGCGTGGGCTGGCCTCGTCTTCGTCTGATGTATGGCTGGCCTACACGTCTCGCCGCAACAGCCCGAATCTGGCAGGGAGTCGAGATGGGAAAATGTAATGTTGTGTCGCAGTAGGGGGTCCTAGGGAGGATGGAATAGACGATCGAGGATGGACAGGAAGCGGATGCGGGAGGGAGAGCGGCGTCCACTTGAGTTGTCCGTTTTGGGCGCGTTAAGGCGATTGCCTTTGATCGATCGCTGGAGATGGGCAGGAGGAAGAAGAGGAGGAGGGTCGTATGTAAGCGAGGAAACGGGCGGCGAGTGACGTATACGTGGCTCGCGGGCGGCGGTTATGTCGGGTCAAAGAAACGACAAGAAGACTCGAATGAAGTTGGCAGGCGCGGATGGATTGGAGCTATGGAGGCATTTGTCGACGACTGCGTGGGAGGAGTTTTTGGTCAGCCTTGTTCAGATCGTGTGGGCTGGAGTCTGGAGATAAGGCGAAAGAATCCGAGGTGTTGTTGGTGAGTATGTACGGGAGGAGAAGGTACAAGGAGGGACGGATGAATGCAGGACGGGCGGGATTGCTTTACCTTAGGCGACAGGCATGGGGGCAGAGCGGGTGGGTATTAGAATTGGGCTCTGTACCTCGATGGATAGAGAGACTAAGAGGCACCTTCTGTGGAAAGGCTACAGATACCTGAGGTGTGCTAAAGTAGTCGCAGGCTCAATGGAATGCGGGGGGGCTATGACGGATGTAGCCAGCAAGTTGATGTGTGTACCAAGCGGTGGTGGTAAAGTCGTAAAGTGGTAGTAGTAGTAGTATTTTAGTAGTGGTAGTCTGCACGAGCAAGGTAGAACAGCAGTGGTGGGTGGTCGGTAAGGTTGAGTAATTAATTGGCAATGGAAGATAGAAAGAGGCGGAAGAACAGCAGTTGGCAGCGGCAAAGATGGCGAGGGGGGTTCCTTTGTGTACGTGCAGCAGCGTGCGTGTGTTGTTGTTGCTCAGGTAAGACAGGTGGACAGATAAATTGGAGAACCTTGGAAGGATATCCGTACAGAGCAATTGGCAACTACCGAGTGGGCCAAGGTTGTTCGAGGCGCACGCAATGCACAAAGTTATCGGGACAGCAGCCGGTGTATTGTGCAAGAAGGGGTAAGTGGTCTGGTGTTCTGGGAAGATGGACTTGATGTACTTGTTTGTGTGTGGCGTGAAGGTGGTTTGAATGGTGAACTGAAGTGAGCCCGGTTAGGTGAGGTGGGTGGTGGTGAGAAAGTTAGTACCATCCATCAGACTCTACTCAAAAAGAGGACGAGTCCAGTCCAAGTCCAGTCCAGTCCCCGGTTCAACCGAGTTCCAGGAATTCCAGCCGTGTGCCTGGTCGCTCGTTGCCCCCAAGCACCAGTGGCACCCAAGAGTCCCAAGATCAAGGTCCCAAGTTCTTGGTTAGCGGCCGGGTGCTGTGGTGCTATGGTGCGCTGCCAAGGATCCAGAGATGGAGTTGGGTCACCCTTTTTTTTTTTTTTTCTTCTTGTACTATTTTCCCTGTCGTTGGTGTCTGAAACCTACAGGCTAAACTGGGCTGGGCTGGCCTGACCTCCAGCTTGTCTGTGACACTCTGTGCTGCACAGCTCGTAAATATATCTGTTACCTTGCTCTGCCTTGTCACGCTTGTTCAGCTTCCCTCATGCTGCCCTGCTTTCGGGCAATGGAATTGATCTAGGGTAGACAAGGGAGGAGGGCAAATGTGTGGGACATATTGGGCAATAGGTGTGGTGTGTTGGGTGCTTATCTCTGATAACCTTGATTGACCCTCACGAGAGATGGAAACCGGACCTTGGTTTGCCTTCTGCAGGCGGAATTGAGTTGAACAATCCAACATGGCCCAGCCAGATGAGCCAGATGATTTATGCTGGGATGAAAGTATCCGTAGCCACACACAAAGTGTAAAAGCGCTTGGGTAATTGATCCTTTTTTCGAGCTCCAACCCCTGTGTCGATGTTGCAGAGAAAAGGTTGAGACGAAGAAAAGAGAGAGTCCCGGCACGACACTTCATTAGGTACATGGCAAGAATACATTCAAGTTGGCAGACAGGTCAGTAAGCACACGTTCACGCAGAAGGGGTATTCCCAAGACTGGAGCCAAGTTTCATCCTACACTGCACAGAATGAAGAGGAGAAATCGCACCACATTTACACACATTGACTTTGTGGACGATACAGTCACTCTATCGGCACCTAGGTATGCCTACCTTGTACAGAGTAGAGCCCCTCATTGCTCTCTCTTTATTGCTGCTCGTTCTTCCCCATTCCAAGCTTGGCAGCCAGTCAGACCACAGTGCGTTGAGGCTCAGCGCAAGACAAACCGAGTGGTCAGGCCCCAGAATTGGATCACCATCTATCCATGACCCATTCCAACATGCAAGCGCAGTGGTGACCGTCCTGCTCGCAAGAGGAGAAAAAGGGACAAGGTTTGGTGCCAATGAGACCATCACCCAAGGAGGAATAAGTTCTCCGCCAGCAGATAGCCCGGGGGCCTGGACCTCCTCCGCCGCACCACCACCACCAACACCACCACCGCCATCATCATGGCACCAACAACGGCTTGTATTCTCTCCTACTGGACTGGAGGAATGAGGAGAAGCTACGGATACTTACCTCTTGTTTCTTGCCACCCAATCTCCCCCTCCCCTCCACAGTCCCGCTCCCGCTCGGTCAGATTTCGACCGCCTTTCCCCAGTGACGACACTTGAGTGGTTCCTGTCCAACGTGTCAACGTATCTTAGCAGGCCTTTTCTGCTACCAATTACTCCGTGTAAAACTGCCCGCTTCTCTTGCGCTGCTGGTATCCGACGCGTGTTCACTTTCTGGTGTTGCATTATCGTCTTTAGAGCAAATGCTAGGTACTTCCCAGCTATACGTATGCGCGTTCGAGTTTGGGTGTGGCAGTCCGGCGGAGAGGGGAGGGAGGAAGGAACAAGACAAAGATGAGATGAGACGAGAGGGGAGGGGAGGAGAGGGGAGGAAAGCCGAAGGGGAAGATACGTGTGAAGGGGGTGGAAGACACGGGAGGATGTTGAGAAGTGACCATCGTGCGATCATTACCTAGGTAGCCTTTCGGGTCGCATTGTCAATACTTGTGCTCCGCATGGTACCATTTTTACCTTTCAACGGTTCGAGTGCTTTCAAACATCGTTTCTGTGTTTGATCATGAGCCGAGGATTCGTTGATGGTTCACATTCATCCACACGCCCGCGTGCATGTCTGTTTGATGAGTCGCATCACCACTTGCAGTCGCTCTCGAATCCAGGAAAGTAATAACTGTCTCTCAAACCTCCGATCTTCCGGCTCCAGTGCAGCGGTGTAATAGACACTGACTGATCATTCTCCTCCCCACACGACCAACGGCCCAAAAGGACAAGGACGAGCGAATCGAGAAAAGGTTGGATGAAATGAGGATCCCGACGCTGACATTCCATTCCAGAAAATAAGTGTGATACATTCCTTCGGTGCGTTGTCCCCGCGTCCATGCGAGCACGTGCTGCACCTGGCTGCCGTGCGACCAAGGTGGTTGAGGAGGGCCTCAAAAAATGGCGGGGGGAAGCGGTTTTCTGGCTCCCACGTTGCCAGAAAATCCAGCAAACAGGAGTCTGGGAAAGGCAGCTGAGACGGCAAGCCGCGTTGTGTGTGTGGCCCATGATAGGTTATGCAGCTGCAGGTTGACGCCGTAGGTCTCATAGAAGTTTGAGGAACGGAGTGTGATTCACGAAATCGGGAGTATCGTTTCCAGAGCGCACACATGCAGCCAGACGGGATAAATCGAAATACCAGGTGACTTCTTGACCCTCCGAAGACGCAGAGACACACGAGTCCTCACCGAACCGCAGGTGGGCATAACCGCGCGCAAAACTCGGTCAGTCGGTAGGGTTTGTCCAAGTCGGCATTCCGAGGTATGAATACGCCACCAAGCCGGCCGCGCGAGAGCGAGTTCATGCGGATGGTGAGATGTCTTGTAATGCCGCCGCCGTGCACCGCGCGTCAAGCCGGCATCGCCGCCTTCGGGAGGGAGGGGCATTGGTGTCTGGCCCCGCCGGACATGGACCCCCGAACCGTCAAACCAGCTCTGATTCTCGGTGGCTGTCTTATTTATCAGGATGGACTCGGAAGTCGGCCAAAAGAAGGTTGCGTGGTTGGTGGTCCTATATCTGGGGGACCGCTATTGCAGGCCCCTCCCCTGCCGGACTTGTCCCCGCCTGGGATTCAGGGTCTCTCGAAATCTCGCTCTCGCCGCTGAAACGGATCTCGACTCGAGTTGAACTTTTTCGAAAACGTCGTTCGAGGCTCTTGCAGTCGCGGCGTGAGATGAGTGGGGGACGGAGAAAAATTCGAGGTTTGATCGCACTTCTGTTTCCCGGGATGTACTCCGTACGCGGTGCAGCATGGCAATGGGCATCTGGGTACTAGCTCCTCGACGGGTAGCGTTGCAGCCAAGGCCTGAGATGCGACTAATAGTCCAAGTACTGCCAAATAAGGAAGCAAACAAAACACCAGAGAAGCATGGCAGAAAAGAACAACTTACACGACATGGGGCAGGAATGGGTCTGTTGAGCATATCTCTTTGCCAAGTGCAGCAGTGCAGTAACAACGATGACGAGATTCAGATAATGCGACGAACCAACGCAAAGCTGCAGCGGCCAGAGTTCGTCTCTCCACAAGCCCCATGAGCCAAAATTCAAGCTCTAGCCTCTAGCGAGCACAAGCTCCACGCCGAGATGCAAAGGTAGAGCTTGGTGTAGCCGAGCCACGATGGTGTTCGCGGCCGAGTCGTACGTACTGCGTACTTTGCGGGAACTGTCAAATCAGCAAAAGGCTGAGAGGTGCTGCGAGCCCACAACTGGTAAAGAGACTCGACATCGCTGGCGGGGCCAGGGAATTGGGTTTTGTTTAAGAGCCATCAACGGCCCCTCTTTAGGATGCAGGCTAGATGTCACCGCCGCGCAGCATGCATCAGAGGTTGATAGTGTATATTGATAAGGTGGTCGAGTGGATTCATGTTTCTTTGCTTTCTCGCCGAGGTAGGCGAGGACGGCACGGGAGCTAATCTATGGGTTCGGGCCCTGTTCCTGGAGTTTGCGCTGGACAATGGTGGCGGTGATGGCTTCGTCACGGGTCGAGAGGTCGTGACCAGCCAATGACGATGGATTCAAGGTCGCTTTGTTAGGCTGTTCGAGAAAAGGCTCGGCAACCTTAAAAAATTGAGAGAGCCTGGAGCCACAAGGCCCTCGGGAGGGCCCCGTATTGGAACTGAGCCTCGCGATGCGTGATTCGGCGCCGACGACCGGAATGTGGTTGTTGGACCCGGGCGTTGGTGGCCCGTTTGGTTGGCAGTTGGGCGGTGTTGGACGAATTGTGGGAGGGAAGAAGAAAAGAGACGGGAGGATGTTTCTAAAATTAGCTGTGAGAGACACACACAGAAAAAGAGGGTTCCATTCCGCCTCATCGGCTGGTGCTAGTGGGAATTGGGGGGAATGGGAAGCGGGTCTCAACTTCTAAGTGGGCGATCTGGCGAAGCCCGAAAAGATGACCAGCCACCATCATTAATACCACCTCACCCAGCCCAGCCAGCCAGCCTAGCTCGAACTCGATAGCCGGTTGTTACCAAGCACGTCCCGTGGGGCTGAGCTAACTTCCGAATATCCGTACAGGGGACCGTCGAAATGCCCATGATGCTGGGCTGGCGGTATTCGTAAATGCGCAGTAAGGTACAGAGTAGACCTGGGTATGGCAAAAAGAAGGATTCGGAACGTGGGCATTGAATAATCCGGTACCAAGTGCTGCAGTGCAAAGTGTTACAAAACTACACTAGGCCACTTTTGTGCTGCCGTAATTCTCTCTCTCTCCCGCACTTGTGAACTCGTGAGAAGGGAGAGCAACAGAAAACAGAGCTGAGCCTCCGCAGGATGACGAACCCCTGGACCACTTTAATTGCGTGGACGGATGGAGCCCAAACTAGCAAGCTTGGGACGTGTCAGACAACGAGACGGGCTGCCGATCAAGGCAAATCGTTGATGTAGATGCGACTCTGATGAGCACATTGAACCTGTTGGACCTGTTTTGTTTCTTGCTCTAGTCGCCTCTAGTTTACTTATCCCTCAAGCAACACACCGGCGATCGGCTGTTCCCCAAGGATGGTGATATCAGACAAGGACCACTCATTCCCATGTTTCTCCATGGGATTTGGGAGGTTGGCCTGGCCGGGGGTTCATGTTTCTCCAAACTCTGTGTGAAGCTCTGTACACGACAGTATACAGTGATCACAGTGTGCGATGATGATGCTTGGTGCGCCGTTCCATCTCATCTTTTCCCGACCTTCCACGAGTCCGACCGGCCACAAAAAGCCAAGGACGAATGAGAGGTACGAGGCCATGGACGCGTACGACGGGATGAGAGAAGCAAAGCACACAAAGTGGAAACGTTCCAACTTCCCAAAGACCTTTCGCTGTTCGGGAATAACAATCAGTCACACACATATCGGGTTTACCACGCCGTCCTCACTTGAGTCTTTGAGGTAGTTTATCTTCTTTCGGCCTAGGTAGGTATCTCTACAATAGCATATTCTAAGCTCAGCTCCATGGGTTCTTGGCCTGGCTCTTGGCCCGGCTCTACGTTCAATCAATCTGCGGCGGCTTCTGCTAAACGGTGAGATTGGACTTGTTACTTCCTAGTCCGAATGGAAGTCGTCCCAAGCCCAACTCATAGACTGGCCGGCATCGCATCCCGTCCTTTCAATGATGACGATTGGCATGCGTATGGTTCGAAACATCTCAAGTCCGCATATCTCTTGGAGAAGTCATTGATCATTTTGAAGGCGAATCTGTTGAAGCAATCTGGTGAAGCTGAGGCAGCAGGATCTCGAGGGAACAGAATCCCGGGCTCGACAGGTGAAGGTGAGCAAGGTTTGACGCCAGTGTCAGAAGGTACCCGTGCGCAGGCAGCATAGCCAGAGAGGTACTCGCCTGTGGCGTCACCATGGTACCTGCTCACGCTGCCCTACGGATGGACATCCCTGTCAGGCTGTCAGCATCTATCCGTACCTTTATTCCTAATTCCAGGCCTTCCCCATCTTGTTCCCCGGCTGGCTTCAATGTCTGTGTCCTGACAGAAAGAATAGAGTAGTAGCAGAGCTTCTGGAGCGGACACATAGCAGTGTTTGGAAGGTGCTGCATCGGTCATTTCCATCGTCAAAGGCCAAGACGGCAAGTTTGCATGCGTGAATGCCTTGCGGACATGTGCGGACATGGGTGATGATTCGAGAGTCGCGTTCGATACAGTGTTTTTGCACGGCATGTGGGAGGAAGAGGACGAAAAAAACACCACCACCAGGACCACCACACGTCAAGAAAGAGGCTCGGAGAAAAGAGTGGAGGAGAGGAGAGCCACAGAATACTTAGCACAGCACAGCATAGCAGCTCGTTGGTTTACGGTTCGGCTCCCGTCTGCTATTTGGCAGCCTGGGGTCTGGCTGTCCTGTCGACGCCGTTGCTCGGTCGAGGGATTCTCCAGGGTCATGGGTGTTCCTAGTAAAGCCGGGGGCTGAGTCGTGGCCCGCTACTGTGCAGCCCGTCAGCAACGCAATCTTTGCCTTACTGCTGCTGTGTGTGCCAATACCTACTGCGGAGGCTTGAAGAAAAGTGAATAGCTGCCTTACCTAATCACATACTGTCCTATTGTACGGAGCACAGTGGTGGTAGCCGTCCCATCTCCACCAAAAAAAAGCTGGTGCCGTGTTCACTGTTCGCGACTTCGCGGTACTGCGCCACGTCCGCGTCCCTGTCCATGTTCCGCTTCCCACGGTGCCCACTGCCCACCTCCCACCCACTGCGGCCTGCCCACACCCCCAAGCAAAGCCAAGCAAGGTGCAAGTGCCCCAACCTGCCCGCCCTGCGCCTTCCTTGCCGTACTGTGCCTTACGCAAAAATACGTAACGGCACTTCCAAGCCTGCACCTGCGCTCCTGCTCCCTCTTCCTACGGTTTTATAAACATCAACGCTCGTCCGTCTGTGTCAGCCTCCTACTTCTAACATTCATCACACTCACATCCGTTTGCCTCTCTCTCGCATACACACTACTCTCAAAAAGGGCTTCCCATCTTCCCTTTTCTTCCTCTCTCCCTCTTTACATACACACACACCACTCACCTACCAACGATCGTTGCTTTCCTAGTTACACTCGTTGACGACAAGCCGACGACCCACTTACCGAAGTCGGCCTATCTGCAAACAACTACAACTTTAAACTCTTATACAACAATCTTCAACAACACAGCAAAAATGGGTGTCGGCCGTGTTATCTGCGTGGCTCTGCCATTCATCCTCAGCGTTGGTTCCATGATCTTCCTGCTGGTCGCTGCTCTCGGCGGTGTTTCCAACAAGGACCTTTACATGTTCCGCGTCAACCTCACCGATCTCGAGATCAACCCTGCTTCCGTATCAAGTATAGTCTCAAGGGACGTCAAGGCAGTCAACTTTGGAAAGTACCACGACCGCGCTCTTCTCACCGGCGATGGTGACAACGCCATCACCAAGGCTGCCACCGACTCCTCCACCACTCAGACCAGTAACATCACCGCTGCCGACCTTGGCCTCGACAACCTCTACGACATCGCTCTCTGGGGTTACTGCACCACCGACACCAACGGCGACAAGACCTGCACCAAGGCCAAGTTCGACTGGGCTTCATCCTACCTGAACACATCCACCCTCGAGACCATTGGCACTGCTGCCGGCCGCAAGATCGAGCTTCCTGATGAGGTTACCACTGCCCTCTCCGCCTTCAAGACCGCTACCAAGTGGACTCAGGTTGCCTACATCATCGCCTTCATCGCCCTGGGTCTCGAGATCGTCTTCGGCATCTTCGCCAACTGCACTCGTGTCATGTCCTGCATCACCTTCCTCGTCGCATCTCTCGCTTCCGTCGCCGTTTGCGCTTCCGCCGCTCTCTCCACCGCCATGTCTGTCATTGTCGTTGGCGCTGTTGAGGGTACTGCCAAGTACTACGGTGTCTCTGCCGGCTTCAACAACAGCTTCCTCGCCCTCATCTGGATCTCTGCCGCTCTCGCTCTTGGCGCCGGCTTCTTCTGGATGTTCACCATCTGCTGCTGCGCTCCCAGCCACACCCGCAAGGACCGCAAGCGCAACAGTGATGGCGAGAAGCTTCTTCCCCAGTCCAGCAGCTACCAGCCCATTCACGAGGAGAACGGCTACTACAAGCAGCAGCAGGCTACCCAGTACGGTGCTCCCCGCTACGCCAGCGGTGCCCGTGGTGACACTGCTTACGAGCCTTACTCCCACCGCTCTTAAGTTTAGCATTTGAGAGTTCACGGTGTGGTAATCTTTTGTACGAGGGAAGCCGTTTGATTTGGTAGCACTCTTGATTTTCAGCATTGTTGGCGTTGGGTAACGGCTCACTATCATGAGAACGACGGACACGCACGGAGGTGGATATGAATGTTTAGTAGCTCTGGGACGAAGATGATCGTCAGGGGGGATGACGACAGTTGATTGCTTTAGTGGACTGCTCGGGATTGGAGATACCCCCATCCAGGCTTTATTGTTTATAGAATTCCAACATGCTTAAAGAGCAATTACAAAAAACAAACTAGAGTTTTACAAAATTTTCTGTCCCTGGCAAAGTGAAATGTGTAGGTTTCATTTGAGAGAGCATATTCTACGATCGAATCGTGACTTGCATCTGAGATGGTGGGCAAATCCCAAACAACGTGCAATTCGGGGTGTATTGACACTGTTAAAGAAACACCTCGACATTTCTCACAGAAAAAAAACCACCAAAGTGAAAAAACTCCACCAAAATCAGCAGAGGGGTGGACGATGACTCGATCCACCACATTACATCCTAACCACCATCAAGTGCTTACCGGAGGAAGGACCTTTAATGCAACCAGCTCAGCTAAGCTCAGCCGCAAAAGACTGGCATCATGCTCCTGAGACCTTAGGCAACCACCATTCACAGGAAACGCACTGCATCAGGATTCAAACCTCTCGCTTTTTCTAAACGCTAGGACAACCCCTCTAGTGAGACTTTTTTTTTCTCCTTAGCCAAGTGAAGACGCACAGAGAGTCAGATATTACCCGACTTGGGCAGGCCAGTCTTCGAACGGCTGCCCGCTTCTTCTCCTCATGAACCGTCGCCATGCAGTTAGTAATCCATGCCCTCCTAGCCTCTTAAAATAGCATTCACATATTGCTTCTTTCTCATACAGGAAGATGGGGAGTGAGAAATATGTACCTTGAGCTAACGAAATGGGAAACAGCAATTCGTAGCCGGACCCCTGCAGAGGGATCACTACTTCACCCCCGTCACCGGCCTCAGCTTCTTCAACGCAAGGGATGGCGAGACGTACCTGCTCGCCGGCGAGGACACGGAGCTGAAGGTGTACGATGGCGAGGGCCGGTTGCGGTGCCAGTTGGGGATTTTCCACGCCCAGCCCATTCACGGTATTCATGTTGCTGCTGCCGCTGCAGGGTATGGTGAGCGGCGGCATGTGCTGCTTTGGGGGAACCAAGCCGTCACCGTCGTTTCTGCTGCCGTCATCGAAGAGCTCATCCTCGGTGGCGGTGGTGAGGGTGAGGCCGTGGTGGCGACGACACCGGTAGAGATTATCGAGGCCAAGGCGCCGGACTGGATCTACGACGGCGTCATTTGCCCTGAGGACCCGGACCGCGGCGTGCTCATCACGGCGCACAACGAAGTCCTCGAGTTATCCGTGGGGAGTGATGGGAAAACGGTCTCGTTCGGTCGCATCGTGTCGCCGTCCCGGCCGATCCTGTACTCGGCGAACCTGACGTGGCTGTCAGAGACCTCTGTACTCGTGGCCGGCGGCACGGTCTTTGGCGAGATTATTGTCTGGAAGTGCCACTTCTCCAGCGATGGAGCCGCAACTGCCGCTGAAGAGGACGGGAGCAAGTCTTGGTGCGAGGTCCTCTTTGTCTTCACGGGCCACGAGGGCTCCATCTTTGGCGTCGATATCTCGCGTGAGATCGACCTCGGCGGAGGGTGCACGGCGAGGCTGCTCGCGAGTTGCAGTGATGACCGGACGATTCGCATCTGGGATATCACGGAGAGACCGGGCTCGCCGCGTTTGCAGTATGACGCCTTTGGCGAGGCTAGGGAGACTGGCTTCGGAGGTTCTTCGTCTGCCGCCCCTGCTACTGCTGCCGCTGCCACAGATCTCACAACAACACAAGTTGCCTCCAGCGCGCCACTGGCCATGGTCATGGGCCACATCTCGCGCATCTGGCACGTCAGGTTCCCTCTGGGAGGCCTCGACGAGCTGGCGAAGGGTCGTCCCGCGACGGTGTACTCTTTTGGCGAGGACTCTACGCTGCAAGCCTGGTCTCTGGACGTCGACCTCGAGGCCTGGCGGCGGAGAGCAAAGTCGGCCGCCGCGGTCAAAGGTGGCGAGGCGCCCGTCGTGGCTGCGAGCATCACGTATAAGGAGACGTATGCCCGCCACGACGGGAAACACATCTGGGCTACCGCCATCACGGAGAAGGCAAACGGGCAGGTTCTGGTCGCCACGGGCGGCGCGGACAGTAAGATTAATCTCTTTTCGGAACGTTCCTGCGTTGGTGGCGGCAGCGATAGCGGCAGAAGCAGCAGCAACACGACGGCATCTAAGCTGCGAGAACTGCCGAGCGAGCTGCAGACTTTGGTGATGCGGGACGTGGTCAGCAAGCTGGCCCCGCGAAACCCCGACCACGCGATCCCCTTGGAAACAAAAGAGGCCTTTCAACGTTTCGCGTTCGTCCACGAGGACACCATCGTCGCGACGAGCACCACCGGCCGTCTCCTTGTCGGCTCCTTTGGACCGGAACTCACGTGGACACAGATCGGGACCGGTGGGGAGACGATGCGCGCCCTAAACGCCTGCACGAGCTTGAAGAGCCCGGCCCCGGGCCTGGCGCTGATAGGCACGGCCAACAAGAAGATTCTACTCTACCGCGACTCGACTATCCAGCAAGTCGGCACGGTGCCCGGTAAAGTAGCAGATATATTCCCCCTGCGGAAATCTTCGGCAGAGGATGCGGGGCCATCGGACAAGAAGCTCGAGTTCCTCGTCACCATGCTGGGCAGCGGGGACGCCATGCAGATCCTCACGCTCGACCTCGACGCCTCGACCGTAACTTCCATGGTGCCCGTCCCCGAGCTCGACAGCAGGTTCGTCGTTACGGCCGCCTGCCAGGTCAATGACCTTCTCGTCCTCGGCTCGCGCCACGGCTACGTGTCCGCGTTTCGCCGCGCGGAGGGTGAGCAGCAGCTCATCCCATTCCCGGCACCGGGTCGCCGCTCCGGCGACGCAATCACATCCATCAACGTCTTCCCCACCTCATCTACTACCTCTGCAGCGGCGGCGGCATCTCACATCATCACGACGAGCCGCGACGGAAACTATCGCGTCTACGAGACCTCCGCTTCCGGCATCCATTTGCGCCACGAGACCGCGCCCGCAGCGGTGCCGAACCTCGAAGACGCATGGCTGTCTGATAGCGGCGACCTGATCCTCTGCGGTTTCCGCAGTAAGAACTTCATCGTGTGGAACGAGACGCGGCACGAGGAGATTCTCCGCGTCGATTGCGGCGGCGCGCACCGCGCCTTTGCCTACACCCGGCAAGGCCACCAAAACAGCAACAGGGACGGAGACCGAGACCACGGCATGCGCTTCGTCTTCAACAAAGCCGCCACCCTGGGAGTCTACACCCAGCACAGCCCCTCCGTCGCCGCAACCCACCACCGCACCCTCAAGCGCGGGTCCCACGGCCGCGAGGTCCGCGCCATCGCGTACTCGGGGCACTCTAACAACTCTGGACCTCGTCGCTACATCGCCACCGGCTCTGAGGACACTTCGATTCGCATCTGGGAGTACACCACGGCCGGCGGTGCTTCGCCTGATGAAAGACGGGAGCTGCGCTGCGTCAAGGTCGTCAAGGTTCATACCGCTGGGTTACAGTCCCTCAAGTGGCTCGGCGAGGACCTGCTCTTCAGCTGCAGCGGAAACGAGGAGTTCATGGCCTGGCGGGCGTGCGATCTCGGCGATAGGGGGTTGGGGTTGATGCGCGAGGCCGTGTTTGCGGATAAGAGCGAGGACGGGGACCTTCGGATCACAAGCTTCGACGTCGTGGCGCTGGACAAGGAAGAGAAAGGCAGCGTCGCCGTCACCATGGCCTTTTCCAACTCGTTTGTCAAGACGTACCGGTATACACCCGGCCAAGGCTTCGAGTTACTCTTCAAGGGCCAGTACACCGGTGCCTGCCTGACGCAAGCGCGGCACCTCCGGGTCCGGGACGGCGTGTTTGATGTCATTACGGCCGCGACGGACGGGTGTCTTGCTGTCTGGCGGTCTCAGGGGTCCGAGTACATCCTGCGGCACACGGAGCGGATTCACCAGAGTAGCATCAAGGCCCTCGATGTCCATTACACGTCCGATGACAGGGTTGTAGTCCTTACCGGCGGCGACGACAACGCGTTGGGCATCGTCACGCTCGTTTCGCGAAGCAGCAGCGACGCTGATGACGAGAATGACGGCGGTTTCGAGCCCGCGACGAGAGCCGGGGTTAGGAAAGCGCACGCGGCGGCCATCAACGGTCTCGTGGTCCTCGGGGAACGAGGAGGCCAGGTGGACTTTGTGACGGCCAGCAATGACCAGCGGGTCAAGATGTGGCGGCTCGGGTGGCGCGAGGGGGTGGAGGAGGTCACGTTGCTGGCGGACGAGTATAGCGGCGTCGCGGACGCCGGCGACGTTGAGATTATTGGGGATGGCAAGGTTGCTGTCGGCGGTGTTGGGCTGGAGGTTTGGGATTGGAGGTCTTGAGGGGTCTGAAAATGGCAACAAAAAGAGGGGCTTGAGCGAGGGGACATTACATGGCTAGAAAAAATAGAGATGAAGTAGATGATGGGACTGATATAATGAAGCTATGCTGAAGCCTTTTTTCACCGCAGGGGCTTATGTATTGAGTCTTGACTGCGTCACCACAGACTCATATTGTCAAGGACGACAATAGAGGCCACAGCTATCATTAAGTAAGGTTTAAGGCAAAGAGTTTATCCTACAAACCCTGCGTCCCCAGTCCAGTTCAGTCTATTCGATGACGACGACAGCTTCCCTTCCCCTCCTTTCGCCGAGCATCCAAGATACGGGCACACTCAGCTTACATGCTCTTCTACCTAGGCTCGAGGCCAGCCGTCAGTCGATGGCTGATAGGACTACCTGTGTGTTAGTAATTATTTGCATTTCGTGGCAAAAGGTCTCTGGAGTGAGTCATTGAGGTGTTTCGCACGCGTG